GCTTCAGCCATTGCACCGGGCCAGGATCTTTAAATTCTATTAAAGGACCTGGAAATTTTATTGATCTGTATAATTTAAAACCATTTAGATCAGGCGCAGTGGCTCACACCTGTTATCCCAGCACTTTGGGAGGCCAAGGAAGGAGGATCCGTTGGAGTCAGGAGTTTGAGACCAGCCTGGGCAACATAGAGAGATCCCTCTCCATCTCTACTTTTTAAAAAATATTTATAAAAAGGGTAAATAAGTAAACCACTTAAAGCCAGAAGGGATCTTAGAGATTATTGGAATATAATAATGAGAGCCTTTACTATTTAAAACTAAGCCCTAAAATAAAGTGCCCAGAATATGCAGTGGCAAAACCTATGAATAGATTAGAGGAGTCCAGCTTAGGACTCTAGCATCGCTTTCTCCTCTTCTTCAACATTTATTCATTTATTGATTCCTTTTTTTTTTTTTTACATAGAGTTTCACTCATTTCCCAGGCTGGAGTGCAATGGCGCGATCTTGGCTCACCGCAGCCTCCGCTTCCTGGGTTCAAGCGATTTTCCTGTCTTAGCCTCCCAAGTAGCTGGGATTACAGGTATGCACCACCACGCCCAGTTACTTTTGTATTTTTAGTAGAGACAGGGTTTCTCCATGTTGGTCAGGCTGGTCTCAAACTCCTGACCTTAGGTGATCTGCCTGCCTTGGCCTCCCAAAGTGTTGGGATTACAGACATGAACCACCGTGCCTGGCCTGTTGATTGCTTCTTATGCTCAAGGGCCAAACGATTTTAGAGCACAGCTATAGCTTTTGAGGGACTTAAGAGTCTAGTTTAATGGCAACATGGTAGGGAACACATTTGACTGAATTATTTCTTTTGAGTTATCAAGATAGTTCTACTAACAGCAGATTTGTTGTGATTTTTCTTCCCTGGTTGAATAGCAGCAGGCCCCATGGTGTAGTGAGAGGTCCTTGGCCTCTGGAATTGAACAGACCTATGTCTACAGTGTGACTGCAAGGTTCCTAAGGTTCCTAAGTCTCCATTTCCTTATTTGTAAATGGGTCTAATAGCTAGCAAAGGTGTAGTAAGAATTAGTGATAATGACTGGCACAATGTAGGTAATCAATATATGGAGTTGTTAAAATGATGATGACGGGCTGGGCGAGGTGGCTCATGCATGTAGTCCCAGCACTTTGGGAGTCCAAGGCAGGCGAATCACGAGGTCAGGAGTTCGAGACCAGCCTGGCCAAGAGACCAGTCTGGCCAGTATGGTGAAACTCCATCTCTACTAAAAATACAAAAATTAGCCAGGCCTGGTGGCGGGCGCCTATAATCCCAGCTACTTGAGAGGCTGAGGCAGGAGAATTGCTTGAACCTGGGAGGCAGAGGTTGCAGTGAGCTGAAGATCATACTATTGCACTCCAGCCTGGGTGACAGAGCGAGGTTTCAACTCAAAAAAAAAAAAAAAAAGATGACGAATGTAAATTTCCTAGAAATGCTTGACATACATGTAGGTATATCATTTTAACAGGTGCTAAAATGTTAGTTTTCTCCTCTCCTGCTGTGTAAAGCTGGGGTGGAATATTTTGATTTGTATTAAATTAATAGTTTATAGGCTGGGTGTGGTGGCTTACGCCTCTAATCCCAGCACTTTGGGAGGTCGAGGTGGGAGAACTGCTTCAACCCAGGAGTTTGAGATCAGCTTGGGCAACATAATGAGACTCCATTTCTACAAAAAAATAAAATTAGCAGGGCATGGTTGTATGCACCTGTAGTCCCAGCAATCTGAGGAGCTGAGATGGGAGGATCACTTGGGCCTAGAATGCTGAAGTTGCAGTCAACTGTGATCGCACCATCCCACTCCAGCTTGGGTGACAGTGAGATCCCGTCTCAAAATTAATTAATCAATAGCTTACAAATTGAAATGACCAGATGCTAGGAAAATTTGCAGAGCTTTTGTCAACTGTGCAAATATGAAATAAGTCTATAAGGAATGGGTTTTTTTTTCTTTGTTGAGTTTGGTAAATTTTCAGCATCATTATTGTGTAATGATATCATACCAAAGTTTGAGCAAGATTATAAATTCATACAAAGGTCTACAGTTAGGTTGAGATAAAAAATACTACTACTGGCTGGTGAGATGGCTCATGCCTGTAATCCCAGCACTTTGGGAGACAGAGGCAGGTGCCTGAGCTCAGGAGTTTGAGACCAGCCTGGGCAACACAATGAAACCCCATCTCTACTAAAGTACCAAAAAATTAGCTGGGCATGGCAGTGTGTGCCTGTAATCCCAGTTACTTGGGAGGCTGAGGCAGGACAATTGCTTGAACCTGGGAGGCAGAGGTTGCAGTGAGCCGAGATCATGTTATTGTACTCCAGCCTGGGTGACAGAGCAAGACTTCATCTCAAAAAAAAAAAAAAAAATAGTAATACTAATTTTGCATCTTATGGCTTTTTCAACGAAGCCATACAGGATAATAAATCAACATTTTTAGTTGTAAAATATACAAGTACACTTAGTTAATAGTTTTCAATCATTAAGCAAAATTTAAGGCAATATTACTATATTTTAAAATTATATGTTCAAAAGTTTAAAAACAATTAGATGCTTGTATTGTAAAAGTGATTTATTCATGTTACATTTAAAAAATTGATCCAGTACTCTTTTTTGTTTTGAGATGGAGTTTCACTCGCTGCCGAGGCTGTAGTGCAATGGGGTGATTTCAGCTCACTGCAACCTCCGCCTCCCTGGTTCAAGCAATTCTCCTGCCTCAGCCTCCCAAGTAGCTGGGATTACAGGTGCCCACCACCATGCCCAGCTAATTTTTGTATTTTTAGCAGAGATGGGGTTTCATAATATTGGTCAGGCTGCTCTTGAACTCCTGACCTCAGGTGATCCGCCCACCTTGGCGTCCCAAAGTGCTGGGATTACAGGCGTGAGCCACCATGCCCAATTGATCCAGTACTCTTATGCTTTTGAAATAGGGTCTTGCTCTGTTATCCATGCTGGAACACAGTCGTGCAGGTCACTGCAACCTTGAACACCTGGGCTCAGCCTCCTTTGTAGCTAGAGCTACAGGCATGTGATTTTTTTGACTTTTAGTAGACATGAGGTCTTGCCATGTTGTCCAGGCTGCTCTTGAACTCCTGAGCTCAAGCGATCCTCCTACCTCAGCTTCCCAAAGTATTGGAATTACAGGAGTAAGCCATTGTGCCTGGTTCCACTCCTCCTTACACATTTTTGTGTTTTTCTTCATAGGGATGAGGTCTTACTGTGTTATCCTGGCTGTCTCAAACTCCTGGGGTCAAGCCATTTTGCCTCAGTCTCCCAAAATGTTGAGATTATAGGTATGAGGCACTGTGCCTGGTCGCTTTATAAGAAATTGATGTAAAATTTATTATCAGCTACAAAGATACAAAAATGTGTTTTAGGATATTGATAATTTTCCCTACAGAAACGACTAACAATGTAATTTAATATTTGATACACAGGAAAGTTTTTTGAAATTTTAAGCACTGGTTAAATAAATGAATGGAAGAAACAGTGAAAGAAAAAGAAATTACATCTAAATCTCTTTAATAAAAATTTCTTAATAGGAAAACCTCTTCCTAAATACAGTATATATCTATATCTATACACATACACATATATACTTTGTTTTCTCCTGTTGTACTTGTAGAAGTGCAGTGTTTCTTTCCCTTGTGTCATTATAGAGTAGTGGCCACCTTGTTTCCATTTACTTCCAGTAACCATTACCATGGTACATATAAATTCATAATAATTTTAAAAATATAAGTTCATTAAATGTGGTGATAGGTGAGAAAAAATATTTAAACATGAAGAGCGTAAGAGGTCTTATCTGCCTTGACAGGATGGAGGTTAAAACAACAAAGTTCCAGCTAACTTTACCATTTATTTTATTAGTATGAAAATAAAAGTAAACAAATGAGTTTTGTCAGTGCACACAAATAAGAGACATTCAGAAGTCAGTAAGTATAATGTTAAGACTGCAAAAATTAATGCTGTGCCCCTTAATAATAGAACTCTTCAGGCTTATTTTTATGACTCACGGCTGTCTACCACTGGCCCTCCTAACTCCAATGCAGACCGAGTTTGGGGATTCTCCAAAAACTTGCATATTTGCATATTAAAACTATTTGACCACAACTACCTTTTTGTAACTGACTGCTTTCAAGTTCTTTGTGTGTTTAATTTCATTGAAACTACATTATAAAACTGGTAAGGTTATTGACAAAAACAAACAAGAACAAACTTTCATATGCAGTTGACTACATTATATAATTTCAAATAAGATAAAATCAATTTGTAAACAAATTTAGTGGTATGGTTTGGGAAATCTTTTTTTTTTTTTTTTTAGACGGAGCTTCGCCCTT